GGAGGCGGAAGACGACGACGACGACGACGAAGACCAGCAGGACGGCGACGACATGACGACGAGCAGGCGAAAGATGAGCACGAGGAGCAGCAGGATGAGCAGGAGCGGCACCAGCACCGCCAGGAGAGGAGCGGAGAGCAGCGGCGGGAGGCGGAGGCGGCGGGCGGAGGCGGAGGCCGGCGAGGCGGAGGCGGAGGACGCGGAAGCGGAGACGGACCAGCGGCGACGGCGGCGGCGGTCGGCAGCGGCGCACGGGCCCGGGCTCGCCTCGCGGCCGGCGGCGGCGGGGCGGGCGTGGCCAGGCAGCCGCACGACCCCGTCCGCGGCCAGGCCTGCCGGAGCGGCCGCGCTGACGACGCCGGCGACGACGCCGGCGGCTCCGACGACGACACCAACACCGCCGACGGCGGCGGCGGCGGCAACGGCGGCGGCGACGGCGGCGGCGACCGCGGCGGCGACCGCGGCGGCGGCGAAGACGACGACGACGACGACGACGACGAAGACGACGACGAGGTCGAGGATGTGGAGGGCAAATAGGAGGAGAATGGAGGACGACGAGGAGCCGTGCCCACAGGAAGCCAATAGAAGATTCGACACACGGCCGATCCGGGCAAGTGCCTAGTGCCACTCCCACTCGTGCGGAAGGGGGAGGAGGGGAGGGGAGGGGATAAGGAAGTACATGAAAAGGTTTGAAAAGGTGTCTAGGGGTTATGCTTATCCCCCTGCTCATCCCGATCGTCTTGCTCCTACCCCTCCTACGCATCATCCTTCCTCCTTCTCCAGCTCATTTCCTTCATGATTTCTCACCACCTATCCGTCATCATCGATCCTCCTCCACCATCCTTCTTTGCGCTTCGCCCTCGTTCCTCGCTTCTACGATCATTCCCTCCACCTCCTCCTCATCATCATCATCATCATCATCATCAGCAGCAGCAGAAGCAGCAGCATCATCATCACCAGCATCATCATCAGCAACAGCATCAGCAACATCATCTTCATCATTATTATTAGTAGTGTTAGCATTAATACTGTTATTAGTGGTAAAAATAACATATGTTTTCTATTAATCGTATTATCCTCATCAGCAGCATCATCAGCATCATCAGCAGCAGCAGCACCAGCATCATCATCATCATCATCATCATCATCATCATCATCAGCAGCAGCAGCAGCAGCAGCAGCAGAAGCAGCAGTATCATCATCACCACCACCACCATCACCATCATCATCAGCATCATCAGCAGCATCATCAGCAGCAGCAACAGCAGCATCAGCATCAGCCATAGCCGCTCTGGCTCATGCGATTGGGGCCTGAGCTTGCGAGCACCTGCTTCAGAGCGGCTCGCGCGTGCGAGCCTTTCAAGGCAAACGGTCGCCTCCAGTGCTGTGTGCAGTGCGTAGGGCTCCCGCCCAATGTCTTGCCAGGCGCCAGGACCCCCCACTGGGTGGGCAAGTGCGGCTGCTGGGGCAGCTGGGCATCCGAAGCCAGGTGCAAGGGTTGTGGTGCCGTGGCGCCAGCGGAGGTGGCCACGGCAGCAAAGGAAGACTGCTGCAGCGTGGGTTCCTCCGTCGGGTCCGAGGGCCCAAGGAGGAGCTCGGGCGCGTGCGTGGACAGCCAAAGCATTCACACCAGATGCGGTTGCTCAAGGATCTGCAAGCCCAGATTGCCGAGCTCTCTCTCTCTCTCACTTGGGGGGGGGGGGCAGTAGCCGCCGCCATGGACGGAGCCTGCCAAGCCAGGCGGCCAGCCCTCTTCCTCGGCATCAAAGCTCTCACATCAGCAGGTGGCGAGTTCCTGAAGAAGGAGAGAATCGACGCAGCAGTGGTGGAGGAGGTCGAGGCGAAAGGCAAGGCAGCAGTCGAAAAGCTCAAGGTATCACTGGAGTCAGCCCACTGGCGGGTCAAGAATCTGCGCAAGAAGGCCCAGAAAAATCTTGCCAAGGTCGAGGCGACCGAGGTACAGCATGCAAAGTTGGATGGGAAGCTCGTGGACACCAAGGCGCACCTTGAACACTGCAAGAAGGAGCCGCGAGAGTATGAAGGCCTGCTGTGCAAGGCGCACCTCCATGAACCCGACGACCCGCTCCGAGTCCTCACGACAGGGCTCGAGAAGTCTGTCGCCGAGTCAGGCCCAGGGCGTTTGGCATTCGGTGCCCTGCTCGGGACTCCAGCAGCAAGCCGCCGCGAGACCGCTCAGGCTCTGGCGGCAGCCGCGCCTGCCGCCGGTCGTGCAGCTGCTCCTGCTGGTCCTGCAAGTCCTGCCGCTGCGGGTGCACCTGCCGCCGTGGGCGTGCCAATGGGCGATGACGACGACGTCGGCATGGACGCCATCGGAGCAGGAGACCGCGAGGCCAAGCAGGAGGCCTTCGCGAAGGCAGCTGAAGCTCTACGAGGAACCACAGGAGCTGAGCGGCGGGAGGCAGCCAAGCGCGCGCTCCACGAGGCGATGGCAGCGTTGGGGATCAAGAAGACGCGGCGACTTCGCCATATCTGATGTGCTCGTGGATGGCGAAAGCTTGAAGGTCAGCCTGGCAGAGGCGAGGCGTACTATTACTTCCAACGAGGGCGGGCGTATTTCCAACGCCGGTGGGATGCCTGGGGCATGCAGCCTGCTTGCCCTGGTGGCGTTCTCGCTGACAGGTGGGTGGGCCAGCTTACTTCCAACGTGGGTGGGACTGCTTCTAGCCTAGAAGGTGGCGCATTGGGAATGCATCCCGCTCGTCCTGGTGGTTGTCGCGCCGACAGGCGAGTGGGTGGGGGTGCCTCCGACGTGGGCGGGAGTACGTCAGAAATGGGTGGCCGTTGCCCTCGTGAGAGCGCCAGGCGTCGGTGCCGACAGCCCTGCTCGTCCTGGCGGAGCTCGCGTTGACAGTCGAGTGGGCGCTACGGTCGGCATGGAGGCTGGCGGCAGCGGAGATCCTTTGTGCAGGTCCTGCGCACGCAGGCTCTGCCCCGTGCAGTGCCGACCTCACCCGCTTGGGGGAGGCCACGCACGGGCCACGCAGCCACGGCTCGGATGCGGGAGAAGCAGGTGCTGGCGGCGGCGCGAGTGCTGCGCTCTGGCAGGACGGCGTCGAAGACTTGAAGCGGCCAGAGCTGGGCTCCGCAGTGCCAGCGGCCAGGCCAGAGCGGCGCGTCGCCTCCCACAGGGGGCGGCCGCCCGCCTCTGGCGGCCACCCCGCGGGGCAGCAGGCCCAACGAGGCGGGCGCTGGCGCATGCGCATCGGCAGCAGGTTCAGGTGGCGGGCCTTCGTTGTCGAGTGGCGCACTCACGGGGGGCCCTGAGACAAGTACGGCGGACGGCACCGTCGGTAGGCTGCTTTCCTGCTACTCAGGCCGGCCCGCGCCCGCCCCCCTGAGGAGCATCTGGGAGGCAGGACCGCCGTTCGGGATCCCGCCGAGGTCGAATCGGTGAGCCCCCAGCAGAGACCGCCGCAAGGACCTCGTCCTGCACCCCCTCATCCCCACCCGGCGCTGGATCAGGAAAAAAGCACACGTCAGGATCACCCAGTTCGTGAAGCTGGAACTTGTCGCGAGAAAGCCAAGCCCATCGACGTCTTCCGTGTGTTCGCGGTGAACGCCAGCAGCTGGGAGACCTGCAAGAGCGTGATGGACTGGTGCGTGGATCAGGGACCTGTTTTCCCTGCCAGAGATGCGTTTTGACCTCATGCTGCTTATGTCCAGGAGACGCGGCTGAAGAACCCTGTGAAGCTGCACCAGGCCTACGGCTGGACCTACGACCGACTGTGAGGCCTGAGCCTCGGGAAGGCGGACCCCACTGGCCCTAGGGCCACCATGAGCCCGGCAGGAGTGGCAGTGGGGACCCTACTATTGCTTCGGCCAAAGTCTCGCCTGATGATCGATGATCCTAGTGCGAGTACTCAGCGTGAGGCTGCCACAAGGGCTTGTGCTCATCTCGGCATACTTCTTCACGAGCCTAGGAGCCAAGGGGGACAATCTAGCAATACTCGGAGTGATGGGCGAATACGTTTTCAGGTTGTGCAGTCTGTATGGCTTATCCAAGCCGATTGGAAGTTCACCTCGTCGGAGCTGGCCGCTGTGGGCTGGCTGGACCAAGTCGGGGGGGGAGGCATCACTGCGACCTCAGAGAAGTTCCGTGCTAGTGTAAGCCAAGCGCACCTTGAATCGCGCACCGACCACATGAAAATCGAACTGTGCGCGCAGCGAAGAGCCCACCTCAAAAGAGGGACGCTCGAAGGAGACTTGGCACACGAGGGCTTACAGCCAAAGTTTCGCCACAGGGAGCCTTGCGTAAGAACTGCATTCCCTTCGTGGGCCCTGTAGCGTCTCGGGTTCAGAGGAGTGCCAGAAAAACTTCGGGCATGGCATGGCCCAAGGAACTCCGAGCCCCCATCCAAAACCATGGTGGTTCTCGCTCCGACGCTTTCGCTGCACTACAGCATCCACGACTTGTGCTAAGTTTACTCAGGAGCACCCTCCCGCCGCGTGGCTGAGGCGGGCAGTCCTGGGTGCCGAGCTCGATGAGCTGCTCACCGCCGCAGCTGATGGCGGACGGCTGGGAGGAAGGCCTGAGCCTCCGCTGAGGTTTACGGTCGGTCCAAGGGCCGGGATTTGATACAGATTGCATTGATAGGCAAGCGCGTTCCACTACTCGCCAAGTAACTACTCGCAAATGGCCTGGATCCGCCGCGGGGGACTTGCGATACGAATAGCGGCGCGCGCGCCCGCCGCCTCCGCGCTATGGGAGGCGCTACAATCAAGACGCAGGAGCCCACAGGCCTCGAGCACCTGAGCTTTGTAATAACCAAAAGTTCTGTGGTTGCGGAAGTACGTGGCCCAGAGCGCAACCTCCGAGGGAACGATAACTCTGGTCCTCCCTCCTCCTCCTCCTCCTCCTCCTCCTCCTCCTCCTCCTCCTCCTCCTCCTCCTCCTCCTCTTCCTCCTCCTCCTCCTCTGCTCCTGCTCCTGCCCCTGCTCCTCCCGGCATGGCCCGCGACAGAGCACACTGGACCCGGGC